AGCCCTACCAAAATCCATCTATACTCTTTTACTAATAACTCTAACCCTAAATCCTAACTTAACTATAAAAAAAAAGCCGACAAAAAGGCCTAAAAAATTTTAAAAATCGTACATAAAATATATCCAAATTTCACTATCATCCGATTTCATGATCATCCGTGACAATTAATATCTCTTGAATTTTTTTTTCTTTACTTTGTTGTTTTGCTTTTTGTGCTTTTGGTTCATTTTTATACTTTTATTGTTTTATTTTTTTCAACTTTAGAACCAGGTATATATGTGCTTTTAATTTTTTTTAATTTGTTTTTTTTTTTATTAAAATTAACATCTTTTGAATTTTTTTTTGCTTTGTTGTTTCACTTTTTGTACTTTTGGTTTATTTATTGTGCTTTTATTATTTTGCTTTTTTTAACTTTTGTTCAACTTCAGGACCAGGTACATATATACTTTTAATTTTTTTAATTTGTTTTTTTTATTTTAAAATTAAGGATAAATAGTTTTTTTGCCTCTGTGCAATCATATACCTCTTAATAAATGTTTAATAACAATATGATCGACCAATCAAATTTCGAATTTCAAAAAAAAAAATTCTAATCTCTCTTTTTTATAGCATTAATAGTGTTAACAATTTAGTAAAGAAATTTTATTTGTAGTATTCACTCTATCTCTTTTTTAACAAACACTGACTCTAATTTTAAATTGTAATGCTATTCTATTTGTTTCTAAATCAAAGTTGTCTTTGGTGGTTGTAGTGAATAAAAGAAAGCCAAAAATCTAGTAACTCCACTAATTCTGATGATGGCAAATGATATACTAATAATTCTAGCAATGAAAACAAACCTAGCAAAAGAGATACTCCAAGAGTAATAGCGTAGATTATAAAAGGGTAAATTATATATTCCAAGAGTAATAGCATAGATCACAAAAGGGTAAATTATACATAAAACAAATGTGTCTTAATCTCTTGAATTCAGTGGTCAAACCCTAACTAGAAGATATTAAAAGCAGATATATACCAGTAACAGAATAATAAATTTAGTGACAACAAAGGGCTCAAGCAAGCTACAAATTCGGCAACTGCATAGTTACAAAAGATAAATTATACTTGTAAGAAAAAAAAAGAAGTACTTTAACATTTCAAATTCAATAATCAATACTAATTAAAAGTGTTAAAGCTAGTACATACCAGTAATGGTATAATAAATGACTAGCGAAATCTTGTAACTGCGTGGTTCAAAAAGGTAAATAGCATTTGTAAAGTAAGTGCATCTGCTGAATTCAGTGATCAAACATTAACTAAAAGATATTAAAAGCAGGTATATACTATTAAAATACATTTTAACCTTTAGATTTAGTGATTAAACGTTAACTAAAAGATATTAAAGGCAGGCATATACAATAACTAGATAATAAGCAACCAACGAAACTTAGTAATTGCATGGTTACAAAAGATAAATTTATTTGTAAAATTAATACATCTTAACTTCTGATTTTAGTGATCAAACATTAACTAAACAATATTAAAGGCAGGTATATACAGTAACAGAGTAATAAGCAACAAACAAAATCTAATAACTGTGTGGTTACAAAAAGGTAAATAGCAGTTGTAAAATAAATACATTTTAAACTCTGAATTCAGTGATCAAATATTAACTAAAAGATATTAAAGGCAGGCATATATAGTAATAGAGTAATAAATCTGACGATCAACAAAGATTAAAGCAAATAATAAACCGGGCGATCAACAAAAGTTATACTTCTAAAAAAAAAAGTATATACACAAATATGAGTGAAAATCTACTATAAGTTACTTACATATTACTTATTCTTAATAACTAACAATTATTTTTGTAAAATAGATAACAAATAATGTTAATACATATTCTGTAAATGATGATTCTGTAAGCAATCATTCTGTGAATGATGATTCTGTAAATGATGATTCTGTGAACGATGATTCTGTAAGCAATCATTCTGTGAACAATGATTCTATAAACAATAATTCTGTGAATAATAATTCTGTGAACAATGATTTTATAGTTGTTAGTTATGAAAATGAAAATACAATATCTAAAGAACAGTTATGTATAAGAAAGATTTATTAAAGTTGGGATGAAGCACTTGAGGCAATGAAAATATATGCTCTATGAAAAGAGTTTAAACTAAGAAAAAACTAGATTAAGAAAACTCCTGAAAAAGATATATGAAAATAAACAATATTTTGTGAACACAATAGTGAATACAAATCTAAAAACAAGAAACAAACTAATGCAATAACTACTAAATATATCAATTGTAAATGGCATATAAATTTGTCACAACTTGTAAAGAATAATACTTACAAGAACATTTATATTATTACTCTGGAAAATAAGTATAATCATGATTTATCATATGATAGAGTATTATTTTTTAATGATAATAAATTTACAAAAGAAATGGTTGAACAGGTAGAGTTTTATATGAATATAATTAAACTAAAACTATTACAAATCCAAAAAGCTATAAAAAAAGAGTTTTCTCATTGTGAGATTTATTTACTTGAAGTTTATAAAGTAGTAATTAAGTTTTATAATAAAAGACAGAAAGATATTTCAAATGATGCAGTATTACTATATGAAGATTTGCTGAAAAAAAAAGATAATGATCCAAATTGGTATATTGCAGTTGATTGAAATAAAGAAACGTATAGCCTTCGGAGATTATTTTGGATATCTCTTGAGCAAATTATTCTTTGGATAAAATTCAGTAAAATTGTATTGTGTGATAATATAGTAAAACAAACTACTATGATATAGCACTTTGCCTTTTCTTATATATTGACAATCATGTGTTCTCTCAGCTAGTTGGATATATACTTATAGACAATGAATTAGCTAATTCTTATCAGTAGATTTTGTGTCAGACTAAAAAGGCTACAGATGGTTGTGTATCTTCAGTTGTTATGACTAATGTAGACTAGCATTAAATCTTGCAATTTTTAAAGAATATGAGGAATCATATACTATGTATTGTATTTTTTACATTTCACAAAATCTTCCTCGAAACCTAGAAACCCAGCTAGATCAACAATATCATGAATTTATTAAAGACTTTTATATAGCTCAAAATGCTTTTATTTCAAAAATTTTAAACATAAATGGACACTATTAATTAAAAAGTACAATAAATCTAAAGTTGTTAAGTATTTACAAATATTA